GATTGCCACTCGCGCCTTTCCGACTGCGAACACGGACGTGTTCGAAACTCTTGCTCGAGAAGCGTTCCTTAAAGGGTGCAGTGATGTTGACGCAGCAGAGTTAGCACTGCATCGCGACCCTAAAACACTCAATGAAGCTGTTCAGTTCACGCAAACGGCAGCACACAACCATCAACTTTTGTCGCGCTCCGGTAGAGCTAGGGTGAGGAATGTTTCCTTTTCTGATCAATATCCCGTAAATGTCCCATCTGTCCAACGAGTTCAAATAAACCAGACAGGCAAAGACAAAGTAGATGTTACTCTAGACTGGTCTGAAATCAACCAAAACATGCATGAAATCCTTTCATACATAAGGAATCCACATACTTGTAGTATTTCGACAGGTTCCAGAATGGTTTCCGGAGATAACACGCCAAAAGACGGTACACGTGTGCCAATTAAACCACCGAATTCCCAGCTAAAGTCCCCGCCTCCTCGAAACTCAAACTCACCGGCGCGTGGCTCAAGTCCATCGGCTCGGGCACGAGCTGGATCACCATCACAGCTCATTTGCTTTAATTGTAATCAGGCAGGCCATTTTGCTCGGGATTGTCCAGACAGGAGATTAAGATCACGATCACCATCTCCCACAAGTAAGGTGCGACCTTTAAACTGTTAGAAGCCGGTCGTGTTGACCGCCGTCCGGCTGTAACCAAGGGTCTTACTAGAACAAATGTGCCTGGAGAGAATAATTCCCAACAAAACAACTTGGGGGTCCAGTTAAGAGAGGTGCAGGTATCATCCAATTTTAATGGGATTAGTCTTGTAATACCCATAAAAATACAAGGAGTCCCCACTCATGCAATTGTCGATACGGCTGCTCAAGTGTCTATAATAAGTGAGGGATTGGCGAAACAATTAAGCCCACCACTAAAGACGACAGAAAAGGTCTTACTCAGAGGCGCTGAAAAGTCCAGTAATATGATCGCCGCCAGAGTCCCAAGACTACCACTAGAAATATGAGGCATTGATTACCAATAGGATATCCTAGTTGCACCGATTGCAGATGAATTCATACTTGGGTTGGACTTTCTAAAAGCAAACAATGCCAGAATTGATTTGTCAAACGATGCTGTTATTTTCAATGGTAAACTGATACATGCACAAATGCGAAGGAATCGGGATCAACTTTATTCCGTACAAAGAGTTGAACTGAAAAGGAAAATTGTTGTCCCTCCTAATTCACTGGTTAGCGCAGAAGTTAAATTCAGTCACGATTCCGACAAGCTCTACATGATTCATGCGCCTGAGCATGTTCATAAAGGTTTGAGTATACCCTACAGTCTGGTCTCCTTAAAGGATAACACAAAACACTTGCATACAACCAAAACCGGTCCTTTCGTAACCCTGCGGAACGATAGTGATCGATATATTCACCTTAAAGGGGGACACTTGATCGGTAGGGCTGAAGAAATCGATGAAGTTATATCAGATAGTGAACATTCAACAGATGTCCCCCCAGACCTTGAGATATATCGACAGTGCCAGTCAAAGGGCGAAAGCCAGGAAATTACTGTGCGACAGATACAAGAATTACATTTACATGTCGTTGAACTTTGGCAAACTGCTAGCAAAAATTTAACCCCTGATCAATCAAACACACTAACCAATGTTCTTACTGAATTCGGTGATGTGTTTTCAAGAGATAACATGGATTTAGGGAGATTCTCCTCGATAAAACATCCAATTAATACCGGGGATGCAAAACCCAAAAAGCAAAAGATGAGAAGAACGCCTTTGGGGTTCGAACAAGAGGAAAAGGTCCATCTAGATGCCTTGCTAGCAACAGGTGTGATCAAACCCTCATCTTCAGACTGGGCCTCTCCCCCTGTACTAATTAGGAAAAAAGATGGGAAGGTCCGCTATTGCATTGATTATCGAGCTCTAAACAGTGTAACTGTCAAAGACGCTTTCCCTCTGCCAATTATTGACGAATGCTTAGACATACTCGAAGGCACCAAGTTTTTCAGCACTCTAGAGTAGCGGATACTACCAAATTGAACTTGATGAGAATGACATGCATAAAACGGCTTTCACTACCAAATACGGGTTATTTGAGTATCAACGCATGCCGTTCGGGCTATGCAACGCCCCGGCCACATTTCAGCGCGCAATAACCCTCATACTTAAAGGGCTTACTTGGAAGGAGGTCCTTGCATATCTAGATGACATCATTATTCTGGGCAGAGACTTTGAGGGATCGGTACGAAACATCATAACTGTCTTAGCAAGGTTCCGAAATCATAACATCAAGCTAAAAGCAAAAAAACGCCAATTGCTTCAGACAGAAGTAATATTTCTGGGGAAACTAGTCAGTGATAGGGGAATCTCGCCTAACCCTAGTAGCATCACAGCAGTTCAAAATTGGCCCACACCCGTTTCGAGTAAAGAGGTAGAGAAATTCATGGGGCTTGTCAACTACCATAGAGCACATATCAAAGACTTGGCAAAATTGGCACAACCCCAATATGAACTTACCAAGAAACGAGCGAAATTTATCTGGCTAAGCGAACATGAACATGCGTTCCAGCAACTAAAACGAGCACTTACTACGAGTCCAGTATTGTCCTTTCCTAGAAACAACAACGACGACCCTTTTATCATAGATACCGATGCCTCTGAATTTGCTATTGGAGCAAAATTGCTTCAAGTTCAGGATGGGGTTGAACAAGTACTGGGGTACGGGAGTTACATATTGTCGCCAGCCCAAAGGAAGTACTGTACTACTCGTAAGGAGCTCCTTGCAGTAGTTAGATTTACGCGCCAGTTCCGTCACTATGTCCTAGGTCGTAGATTCTATGTCCGAACGGACCACAGTAGTCTTGTCTGGTTAATGCGATTTAAGAACATATCTGGAATGCTGGCAAGGTGGATAGAGGAACTTAGTCAATATGACATGGTAATTTTGCATAGGACAGGGACACAACATACAAATGCAGATTCACTCTCTCGGATCCCAAGTGACGTATCAAGTTGTGACTGCTATTTCGCGGGGTGTGACGTTCAGAACCTCCCATGCGGAGGCTGCAAGCACTGCTCACGTGTTCACACCCAGTGGCAGCGGTTCGAGGATGACGTTGACGACGTCGTTCCTCTGGCCGTCCGCAAAATCACTAGGAATAACGCATCTCACCAATCAGTGCAAATTCCAACACAAACAATTGCTGATAACCATGATAACGAGGGCCCTGACCCTGACAACCAGTTTTTGCTGGATGGGGGAAAGGTCCCTGCAATCCTACCACCTACACATTCAGACTGTGGAGGTCCTGATTCTTATAACCAATCCGTACTGGAAAATGCATCTGTAGTTCCAACAAAGGAAGATACAGCAAATTCAAATGGGTTACACCCTAACAACCAGCATATGCTGGATGAAGGAATTACCCAACAGTCAACTGAAGAATTATCAATATTCACCAAATACTCCAGTCAACAGTTAAGGGACTTATAGCTCAAAGACCCCGATCTCAAACATTTGATTAAATGGAAAGAAGAATCAATAAAAACGGCAGGTTCGTTCGAACCCCAACAGTATGAACTGCAAGCTCTATCTCCTGCAGTAAAATACCTGTGGACAAACGCCCCCCTCCTCCAGTTTTCTAACAGAGTTTTGTATTACAAGTGGTTTGATGATCATTCACATAAGTTGTTATTATTAGTTCCAGCAACGTTGCAGCGGGAAGTCCTTAATCTTTGTCATGGCACCAAAATGGGCGGGCATCCGGGTATAACTAGAACATTGCAAAAAGTGCGACAAACATCGTTCTGGTATAAGATGACAGAAGACGTTACTCTACATGTTAAGGCATGTAGAGAATGCAATGTATATAAAAAACCAACACGCAAAGCAAAAGCGCCAATGACACAATACCATGCGGGGGCACCAGCTGAACGGATACATCTCGACATTCTGGGTCCATTCACTCAATCTTCATCAGGCAACCAATACATCCTAATGTTGATCTGCCAATTTACCAAATGGATAGAGGCATATCCCCTCTCCGATCAAACTGCAGAGACGGTTGCAAAAGCTGTAATAGACAATTTTATCTCTCGGTTTGGGTGCCCTCTGCAAATACACACAGATCAGGGTAAAAACTTCACAGGCTCTCTTTTTAAGGCAGTCTGTGATTTACTTGAGATCGCAAAGACTAGAACAACTCCTTATCGGCCTTGCTCTAATGGCCAAGTGGAAAGATACAACAGAACGCTGTTACAAGTAATGAGGTGCCATTTAAAGGGGATGGTACTTGAGTGGGATAAAGATCTACCCATATTAACAGCTGCTATCCGCTGCCTCCCAAACCGGCATACAGGCATGACCCCTAATTTAATGATGCTGGGCAGAGAAGTTAGACAACCAGTGGACTTAGTATTCAGCACACCGCCCAATAGCCAAGAAAAGGATGAACCTAACGCTTATGTAAGGGACCTAAAAGCTAGGATGAGTAGGGCCCATTCTCTAGCACGAGAGCACATTGGGTCGTCACAAGTACATCAAAAGAAATACTTTGACTATAAAACACATTACACATCCTTTGAGGAAGGGGACATAGTCTATAAGCTTTGCAAAGCATCCAAGGTTGGCCAGTCCCGGAAATTGCAACCTGCTTGGCAGGGACCCCTTCTGGTTGTCAAAGTTCTCTCCCCAGTATTGTACAAGGTGCAAGGGAGAAAAAGGACTCAAGTTCTCCACCACGATTTACTCAAAAAATGTGAGAATGGGGAAATTCCTCTGTGGCTGCGTAGGTTACGCAATCGACTACTAGGGGAGGGAAAGGTAGTCATGAAAGAGCAAATGTCACAAGATCAATTCATTCAGGTGGATCATCTCTTTGCATCCTCCACCCCAAGAGCTTCCAATGAAACACAAAAGCAAACATACATCACTAGAAGTGGAAGGGTAGTAAACCAACCATGTCGGTTCTGAAAATGTGTTGATAAAATGAAATAACACAGCAATTCTAGTTTTGCAGGATGGAAGAAGAGCTATTTGTTCCAGATTACACTTGGGAAGAATCACCAACAGCAGAAGACGCTATGCCGCCTCTGGAGCTTACACTCACTTCGGGAGGAAAAGCCGCCAACGAATCTGATAAACGGCAAGCCCAAGTAGAACCCGCCTCCGTTCTTTCGTCGAAACCAGACACCCCCGACGAGTTCAAGGGTATGCCAGATCTGGAACTTGCACCCACACACAATCCCGGTGCATTGGATGACCTGCCAGTTCTGGAGCCAAGTCCCGTCCCCCCTTCATCACCACCCATCTCCGCAGTTGCCCACATCGCCCCAGTGCGACCACATAGAAAACGTCCAAAATCAAAGCAAACATGTCCACAGCCTGGATGCGAGCACGCCACCAAACAGTTAAAGAGGCACGTTATCCGCCAGCACATTTGTGACCGTTGGTGTTTTTTGTACCCACTACTTGCATGCTGGGAGTGTCGGAAATTGGAGATAGCAAGTCATGTACGGTCACATGGCGCCTTTGGCATCACCAACCATCTTCCTGAACTGTCATTCCTAGTTGCAGGCTTCGTAACGTACCTTTGCGACATCATTGGAGCCAAATCGCCGGGGGACTTATTGACGCTGGTGCGCCAACGAGAATTGGGAGATGCTTTTTCTTCTTTCAAGGAGGAGGAACAAGCCGTCTGGGACGCTTACGATGCTTTCGTCGGCCTTCCTCCAATGGCAGATCGAGATCTAGTGACGCCAACTCGCATCTCCTCGATCTTCCACTGGAGGACACTCCAACGCCTCTTAACACACAGCTCCCCTGCCACCGAGCACGGCGGCTCTTTTGTGGACTCTCATTGTCATGTCGATCGTCTCCTGCACCGTGCTAGGTACACTGGTACTTTGAGCCAGTACATGAACAGTCGGCAAGAAGAAATCGGTGTCGATGGTTTTCTGGGCTGCATTGCAAACTTTTGCGATCCTGAGTCATACTGCGACCCTCGATTGTGGCTGCGACTTATTTCTGATCACGCGGTTTATGCGGCAGTTGGGCTGCACCCCAAAAAAGCACGCGATTTCTCCCCGGACACAGAACAGGTAATCCGCCATCTGCTGGACCATCCTAAATGCTGTGCCTTGGGTGAAATTGGCCTCGATTACTCAGGCTGTCACGGTCGCAATCGCGAAGTCCAGAAGACTGTCCTCCGGAATCTCCTTGCTGTCGCCATAGAATATAAGAAACCTGTGGTAATTCATTGTAGGGATGCTGACGCAGACTGTTTCGCAATTCTTTCAGAATGCCTACCCCAATATTGGAACATTCACCTGCATTGTTTTACGCAGGGTTGGCAGGAGGCAAGTAAATGGTGCAGCACATTTCCCAATCTGTACGTAGGACTCACACCAATTATCACCTGGGGAACCCCGGGACCAAGAAGTGTCGCTCAGAATATACCTCTTGAACGATTGCTTCTGGAAACGGACTCCCCCTACTTTGTGCCTAGCGATCTTGCTAAAACAACAACCTTCAGCATCCCTACGATGGCCAAAGTAGTGGCGCAGGAAGTAGCTCGTGTCAAAGGTCTGGAAGTTGAGGAAGTGTTGACGCAGTGCATCAAAAACACCAGAAACATGTACCCGGTTAACCTATAAACCTTTCTGCGCTTGACTGGCAAACTACATTTAGTTATACATTTAGTTTGTACATGTGTTTTATTCCCACTGGAACAGAGAAAAAACAATCCAGAAACATTTGCTTAAAATGGAAATGGGTTAGCTGATAGTCGAGGTGTCCATTAATTTGATTTGTATAATTTGATACTTATTAGATACACACTAGGTATTTTAACATACAGATGGTTTAGGTCAATTATTAATTTTGACTAATATGTATTTGGAACAGGTTATATGAAGGGCAAGTTATAACAATTTTATTTTTATCGACAAATAGCTGCAGGTATATTTTCTCGATAAAGTTGCATTGGATTTAAGGCACTATCAATCGTAACTGCTTATATAAAGTAATTTGCCCTTTAGTGAAATAAAAAAGAAAAAGAAAACTGTTTTTATGCCTATAAAAGAAAAAGGAAACTATGTTTATGCCTGGTGTAAATCTCAAGTCCTAAAGATTGAATAGAAATACATAGTATTAATTAAGGCCACAAATATGCATATAGTTGTACTCCCAACTCTCGGGTTTTTCACTCGTTTTGGAGTGTACACAAACTTTCTGTGTGTGAGATGATTATCATTTTGACATTGTCATTTTTGAAACTCTGACATATTATTCAGCCGCTTTATAACTTGTTGACCATTTAGTGTTATCACGTGTATAAATGTACGTCTCTTAGCACATGTAATTTAGTTTTGGTAAATGTTAATCCCTAAAAATTTCTGTTCGCAAACTAATTTTGATAATACATGTAAAAGTTTGGGTGCATGTTTTGCATAAATATACAAAATATACCCATTGTATGACAATGAATCATCAGGTGGCAAGCTAAAAAAACAAAAAAAACAAAACAAAAAAAAACAAAAAAAACCAAAAAAAAACAGAAAGAGGTCGAGAGGACAAGACAATTTTTAGTTTTAAATTTATTTATTTATTTATTTAAGCGAATTGTTTCTTCGCCCCACTTTCAGACTTGTCAGATTTAAAAACAAGAAAAGAAAAATATAATGGGGAAGAATGTAGTGAATACACGTAATGACTACGTTTATAAGTGTAGCATAATAAACCAGTCAGGCGTGACCGGTGGCTGGGCAGCATTGTGCAGCCCTGCCGCACGGAGTCCGTGTCCAGCAATACCAGAGTGAGCGTCAATTCGTTGTCTGTTCCCTCCAGGACCAGCGGGCGCGGGCACCGACCTATTAACTTAAGGTACGAATTACAACACTGTTACCACAGCGCCCAGATCTCCTTCAATTATGTCACAATCGTCAACAACACCCCATGCACAAGGTGATGCAGCTGGCCGCCTGGGTGCTATCGGGAAATCACTCGCAGCAAGAGGACTTTCGCAGAAGGTGTCCTCGGTTATCATGGCATCATGGAGAAAAGGAACAAATGGTCAATTTGACTCAGCATGGAATCGCTGGAGTCGCTGGTGTCATCAACGACACTTGGATCCAGTTCAAGCACCTTTAGCAGAAGTGTTGGAGTTTATCCATACATTGTTGGAAGATGGGCTACAATATAGGACAATTAATGTCTACAGGTCTGCTATTTCATCAGCCCATGTTCAGGTGGATGATGTCCCTATTGGACAACATCCTTTAATGACAAGGTTTTTTAAAGGTATTTTTAATATTCGACCACCGAAACCTAGATATTCGTTTACTTGGGATGTTGGGAAAGTTCTCCGTTACCTTGGTTCACTCTCATCAAACAGGAAGCTCAGTTTGAGGCTTCTGACGCTCAAATTGGTCATGCTGGTCGCTCTCGTGACAGCAGGGCGTTGCTCATCATTAATTGCTCTGGATTTACATCACATGAAGAAGTCCAGGACAGCATTTGAATTTGCACCAGTCAGCCAGTCTAAATGTTCCTCAGCACATAGGCCAGTTCCAAGTGTTGTTTTGGCCCGTTATCCAGCAGATCGAAAACTATGTGTTTTTTCAACGTTGGAGGTGTATATTCATCGTACACGATTGCTTAGACGCCTAAATAATCAGCGCTTTACAAGGCTGTTTCTATCATTCGGGAAACCTCATCATCCAGTAGTTTCATCTACTATTGCTAGATGGCTGAAAATAGTGATGGCATCGGCAGGAATATATGTCTCGCATTATAAAGCACATTCTACTCGGGCTGCGTCTACATCTGCTGCAGCAAGAGTAGGAGTTTCTACTGCTCAGATTTTACTGACAGCAGACTGGTCATCGGTGAACACCTTTGGAAAGTTTTACAAGCGAGATGTACCATGTTCAGAGGAATATGGAAGAGCAGTCCTGTCTTCGGCTTAGCTGTGAAATATACACGGTGAGTCTCGACGACGAGGACGAAATATAATTTCAAATTATGTAAGGGTTCTTACCTGCCATATAATTGAAATTATATGAGGCAGAGGAGGAGAGACTCACCTCCCTCCCTCGGTGCCTCAGTTCTCTTCAGCATCCCACCCATCTTGAGTCCTCAGCCAGGACCAGTACCTTAGATCTACAATGGTTTCTTGGGGGCTTTATACCCAGCGTGCTAGGGCTAATTTGCATTTTTATGAATGAAGGAATGATCCATTTTCTTCAAAGGGTGGTGCAAACCGTATTACCAGGGACAATAATACACGGTGAGTCTCTCCTCCTCTGCCTCATATAATTCCAATTATATGGCAGGTAAGAACCCTTACATAATTTGAAATTTTTGGCGATAAGAGAATTTGTTGATTTGCAACTGGACGTTTTTATCACAGCTGCCAGCCTGGAATTTGTTGACGTGGAATCTGTTGACTCAGCTGTCGTCCCAGATTTCGTTCGTAGTGCGTCTCCTGTTGACAAGCAGAGATGGCTCCTTGAGCAAGTGCGGAAAATGATAACCAAGTTTGTTTCCCTTAGTTATTATTATTATTATTATTATTTATTCGACCTCAACAGAACAGCAACAAGCAATCAAAACGGCACAAAATGTAAACAATTAAATGACAAAAGAACGAATAACCGAATACAACAAATAGCCAAAAGGGCAAAAACAGAACAAATGAGCGGAGGGCAGCCAGACGAGCATGGAGAACGGATTCAGTGAAAAAAAACGAGGTGGGTATAAGAGGGTAAGAGAGGGGGCATGCAAGTAAAGGGGCTGAATCTTAGGAAGAACACAATGAGTAAACTGCCACACACAAAAAAACCAGTATTATGCGGGTCAGGGACAACAAAAGTAAACTAAATTACTGTTGCTCGGAAGCATGTTGTCCCAGACATAATACGACAAGGACGAGAAATAGCACACAAATTAACACAGAGTCGAGGGGAGGGGGAAGGACCATTTCCTACACTTGCATGCTCCCTGTCAAAACCGGGAGGATAAAATTAAATCATTGCAAACAAAATCAGACGTTTAAACAGACATCTTTCAGTTGGCGGAGAAATGTTGTCAGAGGACAGTGAGAATATGGAGGAGCCTGCTACAGAAACTGAACACCCATGCCAATTTAGCGGCTGCCAACGAGTGTACAAATACAGGAAAGCAATTGGACAACCACGAGATGAAGGTACATGGCAAGTCACTTGATCCTCATGTTGAGATATCACAGATAACACAGGGAACAAATGAAGACTATGTGTACAATTATGGGTCTGCCTTCTTGTGTATGGGTCTCCTACTGCGAAATGCACATGATGCTGTCAAAGAAAGGGATGGTCCCAGGCTGCTCTTGGTGTACAAGTTCCTGATGTTGTTGTTCCGTATGCATGGCCATACAAATTATGCGTATGGCGTTCTTCACCAAACGGCTTGTGTAAAGGCACTTTTGTCTCCTCGGCGAGCAGAAACAATTAACATGGAATCGAACAATCAACACCAAAGGGGGGAGTGGATGCAGGATCCCCGTGATCTTCATCTTGAACATAAGAATAAAGTAGCCAAAGGACTCATGCGTCATGTTGGACCCAACCTGAATGAAAAGACAATGACACGAGCAAGCAAAGCTGTAGGAAAAGTAGACCAGCTGGTACACATGATGGACAAGGACATGGCTACACCCACCTCATCTGGTTATCACCATCGACCAAAAAATGATGCTGACTTTAAGTTAATACTTAGAAGTGTCTTGCACAACAAGCGCATCTTTCACTTTACACCTGGAAGAGAATACCCACCTTTTCCAGAGCAGAGGAACAATTTGTTTGCAAAGCTTAACATGGCTTCACTTTTTAAGTGGCTTACGGAAAGAAGACTGGAGTGGGCAAGACAATACAAATATTTGTACTACGTTGATCGTGTGTCAATGTGATAATGCATTAATCACTTGTGTAGGATAGGCTTGGGTGACTCCACTGTTTTGGGAGTTGGAGTAGACTCTGACTCCAAGCAGAAATCACGACATGTGTAATAGAACTGGTGGGGATATGTTCACTGTATCTAAGTACATTGCAAGGGCTACTAAAATGTATTACATCTGAACATTTATTTCTCTGGTTAGCATCGTCATCAGTAGACCTAACTTCATAGCATCCATCATATTAAAGCTAAATGCAATTACATGAGGTCCAGTACATGCATACCACAATTACGAGAAATTTCCTTCAGTTTTGCTAGGAAATGTTTTCTCCAATGATGAAGGGGATAACAGTGTGATGAACGGGTCGACCCAAGGTTATTATTATCATTGACTAATAAAAAACAAGTCATCACATTTTGATGCCCATTCATACCTTTGTAAATACCTTCTTACAACAAATGCAAAAACCACTCTGTGAAACTCTCTCAGGCATTTATGAATATCAACTATCTCTATACGGTCATGTTTACTATGAGCCTTCCAGTTCCTGAATCCTCAAAACTGAAGTTTGGGTAAAACAAAAGGAAAAAAAGCTAAATTTTGTTCAAGTATTCCTGTCTACTTTGGTCTTAGCAGCTGCATCCTCCAAAATGCAAAAGGAAGAGAGGAAATACCTCCAAGTCAATTCACTGAATTAAATTATTGGCTCCCCTCTTGGTGGGAAATGTCTTGGAAAACATTGCAGTAAAAAGCAAAAACAAATGCTGCATCTTTTTGTGAAAAAGCCTTATGATACAGAGTGCAGGGATATAATACACGACACATTTGTGTTACAAATAGACCCCAAAATGAACAACAGATATTGGCTCAAGTAACCATGCCAGGTTGTTTAATACAATCCACAGAAACATAAAATATAGGACCCTGAGCAAGACATCTCATAATAAAAGATTTATTTACACTTGAAGTGAGTCAGAGGAGCCTTATGCTGTATATAAATTGGTGTCTTTGAAAGGTTCTTTGCTCATACTGTGTGAGAAATTTCCTAAAAGACTGAAGTTGTTTTATGGGGTGTGCCAATACCA